AAGTAACTTCTGAAAGCAACATTTCCTTGATAGTGTTTAGCCCAGTTTTTTGTCAGCCTCACACCAATTTAGGTAATACAAATATGTGTGGACAGTCTTGAAAAAAAATTCCACACAAACTAATTCTCTTCCTGTTTACTGTAGGCTCATTATTTCACAATGCATCCTGGTGTTCAGAAATCCACACAGGAATAATAATATTCGCAATACTAAACTAATCATAATGACTCTGCTGGTGTCACCAATGCACTGAATAGTCACAGTATGTCAGGCACCAATTTACATCCTTATTATGTGTACCACTGCTTTTAGTACTGATGACCAATTTGAAAATAATGTGCTGCCGGGTACAGTGGCTCAAGCCTGTAATCCCAGCACTTTGGGAGGCTGAGGCTAGAGGATTGCCTAAGCCCAGGGGTTCAAGACCAGCCTGGACAACATGGCAAGACCTCATCTCTACAATAAATCAAAAAATTAGCTGGGAGTTTTGCTGCACGCCTGTAGTTCCAGCTACTTGGAAGGCTGAGGCAGAAGGATCGCCTGAGCCCGGCAGTGGTGGCCGTGAGTTGCCACTGCACTTCAACTCAAAAAAAAAAAAAAGAAAAAGGAAGAAAGAAAAGAAACAAATGTGCAAATAACATTTCCCCCTTTTAGAGATAAGAAAACTGAGGCTCACAGAGATCAAATAGCTTGTTTGGGATCAAGGAAATAATGGAACCATGATTTAAACACGTTGTCTGCAGAGTCAGAGCTTTTAAGAACTAGGTTAACATGTCCCCTCTCAATGTTTATTCGCTTTACCTGATCACCTACTGACGGAGGTACAAACATAGTTTTCAAAAATAATTATAAAACGAATCCAATTTATATTCAACTATATGATGCCTTTCTTTCCCAAACAGAGAAGATACTTTCCTTCCAATGGAGGGAAAATGGTCCTGGACCACAAACACATTAACTTTAGCGAGACTCTGACCCAGTGCCAGCTGTGATGTCTACTGCTTTCCATTCATCACTTTCTAAAACAGCCTGGTGCTTGGGGTTAAAACAACAACAGCAACAAAAAGTAACCTACATAGCGTGTCACCTAACTCAATGTATTAGCACCAGTACTCCACATCAAAGTAAGTCCAGAGGTGTCTCATTTGTGGACCTAAGGATGACTGCCAGGACCTTTCTACCAGCTGATAGTTCAATAGGGAGGCCACTTCCACATAGGATGATACAAGCATAGTGCCTCCTCCCCAAAGCTAAGAACACCAGGTCTGGACTTTAAAGGACAATAAATGGGTAAAGCACAGGTTTAGGAGTCAAACAGCCTTGGTTCCATTCCTGACACTATCACATATTAACTATTTGAACTTGGGCAAGATGCTTTTTAATCTCAAAGACCCTCAGCAACCTCATGGCAATGAAAATTAAAATACCTACCCTAAAAAAGATATCATGATGATTGCATGGGGTAAAATACACAACCAGTGGGTGGATAACAGATAAAAAATTTTCTTCCTCCTCCTGAAGGACTTTATTCACCAGTGTGTTGGAGCTGGCGCATACTAGTTTAAAAGATCGGACTATTAAGTTTGTAAGAATTTGGCAAACTGGTTATTAAAAAGCAGCCATTATTGAAAATTAAATTACATAAACTTAAATTAAATAAATCATATTTTAAACAAAGGAAATAAATGCACAAAGCTCATCTCTTCCTAGTTCATTTACTTCACTTTACTAGTAGTTACCTATTCTCGTAAGGTCCTTTCTGTTTATGGCATGTGTCTGGTAGAAAACCTACCTCATGGTGGGCCACAGCATATCTCTCCCAACTGCATGGTCAGTGATGTTACACTTTTAGCTTGAAATCAGTCACCATGGGAGTATTTACATGGAAATTAGCAAATACTACAAATCAAGAATTCCTTTCTTTGGAGAGTCAGTTCCACATGGGATTATTACCAGCACACCACTGGAATTCATATTTCATCCTATCCCTTTCTGCTCTGGAATCTTTCATCTCCCCTCTCTATAGGTTGTCTATGAATACACACACACACACACACACACACACACACACACACACAAAATTTAAGATAAAATTGGGGGAAAAAAAGGCCATAACATTTCTCCAGTTAACCACATTTCCCTCCATTCCTTCATTGGCAAATTTATTGAAAATGTTCTATCTAAGCTTAACTCTGACAGTTTCTTATAATTCATTCATTAATTGATTCATGTCACAAATATTCAAGTACCTACGATTAGTCATACACTGTGACAGGAAGCAGCAGTGCAACCGTGAGTGAATATTGACATGGTCCTGCTTTAGTGAAGTTCACAGTCACATGGCAGTCTAACTTCTGTCCCACCTTGAAAGTCATCAGTACTCTCTTTAACTCCTTTTTTTCTCTTCTTTTGCCTTCCTTAAAAAAATTTACAATTTCCCAAATTGTTTTGTCCTCTTTTCCTCTTACCCTCAACAAATAAAGTCAAAAGTTTCTCAACACTCTGTTTATCCCCCTTCCCTTTTCTTCAGGAATTTCATGAATTCTTGTGATTTCATTCTCTACCAAACCAAACCCTTAGAAAACCTACTTCTCCTCTAGCTCTTCCACTCAGGAACTGATGCCACCATCTACCCATATGGTTAAGCCAGAAACTTGAAAGTCCTTGTTTCTTTCCTTTCCCTTTCTTCCTCACCCCAAACACTTAGCAAGTCCTGTTGAATCTATATAGAAAATATATCTCCTTATCTTAATTTCTATCACTCTCAACCAAGGTATTTTTGTCCTCACTCTGTATAAAAGCCTCCTAATTCTTCTCACTTCAGTATTGCTCCCAACATCCTGCACCACAAAGAAGCTAGAATGAACATTTTTAAAAGAAATGAAACTATGTCTAAACACACACATACATACACACACACACACACACACACACACACACACACACACACACACTCCATCTTCCCATTCTACTAGGGATCCCATTCTACTAGGAATAAAACCCAAACTTGCTTCCATGGCCAATGTGGCCCTTCTTTATCTGAGCCCTACCCACACCCTGCCCTCACCCCTTCTCCTCCACACTTGCTCACCACCCTGAAACCTGGAACCCCCTGCCAGATCTTTGCAGATCATTGTAGGGCTGGCTATTCCCCTCCTTCAGTAGGATTCAGAAGCCTTCCCTGACCAACCAACCCAAATTCCCCCAGACTAACTCAACACTCTCCATCATATCCTGCTGCTCTCTCTTCTTAGCACTCACATTGTTCATTCATCATTGATTATTGTCATCTTCCTCTACTAGAAGGGATGTTACACAACAGCAAGGATTATGTCTTCCTTATTTACCAAGACATTCCTGATGCCTAGCCTAGAATGTGCCTGGCACATGTCAGCTGCTCAACAGGTATCTATTGATGAATGAACGAATGAATGGGGCAAGACTCCAAACAACAAAGGCAAAAAAAAAATTGAAAATAAAGACCTTGAAAAGAGGGAGTTTTAAGGAACTACACAGATCAATTAGAACAGCAATCGGAGTGGTAAGGTGCTAATACTATGACTGGAATTTCCATACGTTAAAAAATTGCAAAGCCATTAGGCTGAGGTGGCTCCACCTCTGTTTTGATAAGCAAACAGAATCCCACCTCAGTGTAAATGGTAAAATGAAATCTAAGCTTAACCAATCAGAAACCACCAACTCTGACTAGGAACTTTCCACTGGAATGATCCAAGTAAGACTAGTGCTTCACTTTGCCAACCAAATATGTCCTTTGCTCTGCTTCTGTGTTCACCCTATAAAAATTTTCCCTCAGCCGGGCTCAGTGGCTCAGCTTGTAATCCCACGCCTTTGGGAGGCTGAAGTGAGTGGATTGCCTGAGCTCCTGGGTTCGAGACCCACCTGAGCAGCGAGACCCCATCTCTACAATAAATCAAAAAAATCAGCCGGGCATGGTAGCATGTGCCTGTAATTCCGGCTACTCGGAAGGCTGAGGCAGCAGGATCGCCGGAGCCCAGCAGG